GACATACGGACATACGGACTGACGGACATACGGACGTATTGAAAAAAGAAATCAAACACTTTTTCGGTCTGGGGATCCCAAAACGTGTATTTCCGTTAAAATCTCGAATTCAATTTTCTGAAGCATTTCATAACTTTCCCTATACTCCGTATATAAGTACGTATACGGGGAAGTACAAATAGTAAGCCATAGGACTCTATTTCTACCACAAGTAACAAATGGAGAACATTATGTTTTCATACATTTATGACCAAAAGCCAAACGAGGGGTCATCTCAGCATCACAGACAAAAAATGGTCTTATTTTTTTGTAATTTGATTTAATTATGTTCAACGGCATCTAAAAATGTCAGCACGTTTTCTAAGATCGGACTCTATCCTCGTTTCCTAGGATAATTCCAAAAGGAACATGTCTCCTTTTGGCTGGTGGCAAATATTCATCATTTTCGTATTCACGAAACACGCTTTTCATCCCTATCAACTCGAACTCAAATAAAACCAAGCTTCAAAACCCAATTCTTATTCTGTGAGAAGTGCTGACCCACTAAATAGTTCTCGAATCACCATCAAATCGGTTTCGCGCACCCGGCGTGCTCTGCCGACTTCCTCAGAGGGGAAGGAGGGGTCAACACACTTCATGCGAAATCTCTGGAAGTACAAAAGCGAACGTGTTGTTTTTTCATAAACATTTATTAAAAATAATATATGCTTTAGACTGCTAGAAGAGCCTCCTGCCAGAAGAGCGAGTGTAGATGCAGGCGCGGATCCACGGGGAAGTAAATTTCCCCCTCTAAAATGTTTCACTAACTATCAATTTTAACTCATCACAAAACTTTCACGCAGTCTTTTTTTTTCGGATAATTATTAAAACGAATAAGATCGTATCGCGCCATGAGCTGAGTGGAGCCTGAGACATTTTTCAAAATCTGTAATATGACGTATTCGAGCAAAACATTTTGAATTTCTCCTCCCAAAATTTGTCTCTGTATCCGCACCTGGTAGATGACAATCTAAATCAAGGTTGTCCAATGGCGACCCGCGGTGCCGTTTATTGTGGCTCGTGAAAGGTTATTAGTCAAAAGTTGAAGACCTATGCGTCCATGTTGTACGAGAAGATGTGCAGGGTACAACCTGATATAACGTATGGTTCCACCTCCCACCCCCATTTCAGAGCAGCCGAGCAAATTGCTGTGAACAACAATACGGGGAAGTCAGGTGTGGACCCCCCAAGTAATGTAAATAAGAACCGCAACCATATTAAAGATTTTAACCGTGCTCTTGAAAGTTGGAGACCTATTCCAAGTAATCTGACAATATACCTCGTCGCCAGAAAGATTCTGAATTAACAGTAAATCCAACACACTATATCGCCTTTTTACATTTCCAAATCGCTAGAGGTGACCTTTTAAGAGGGGATCTATCTACGAAATGCCTCACCTCTGGGCAGAGGGCCAGGTGGACACTCAAAGGAATTTTTGCGTGTTGCGAAAAAATCGATCGGTTCCGCGAAAAAATTGACACTTATAGAGGTGACCACTTAATGAAGGTGACCGTTTAATTAGGTGTATTTTTACTAATATTTTGCCACTATGAAATATGTTTTCATATTGTCCTAGAGGCTGTTGTGGTTTCGTTCTAGAACATCAATGCTCGTCGCACGATACATCGACCCAAAATATTGAAATGTTTGGTTCTAATCATATAACTAACAGACAATTCTAATTTATTTATAAAATACAAGCGCACACGTGTGTGTTGATGTTTAAAAAATATTTTAATAGTATCAAACTCTTGTATTTGTTTATCGGGCGCAATTTGTGCAACAGTTGTCGATAGTCTCTGGGAGTTCACAGTCGAACGACGCCTGCGCACACGTTGGCGGGGTTGTAGGTGGCGGATTCGCCAGCAGTCAATACTCATACCCCGAACGACCCGGCCCACACCACCAACCAACTCCTCTTCCTCGCACACTAGTCAATGAAATACCATTAAACAGTATTACCAAAATGTATATCCACAATACAATATCTCAAATAGGCTGTAGGTATGTTGCCCGAAGGACTAACCCTTTCGTAAGAATGTCAACTTCCATTTTACCGCGAGGGTCGTCAGAAGAACGGAACAGAAATAGTAGTACGGCGGCTTTAAAGAAACCCAAAATAGACCCTCGCATTCGCGCTGCTTTTTTCCACACGGCCAAGGTGAGCTCGCTTACATTGTATTTCGCACTTATTTAGTTCTAACATTAGAAACGTTATTTATTAAACAATTTCGTGGTCTGTAATGCCACATTTTAACATCGCTTGCCCTCAGGTTCACGTGAGTGAAACAGTGTAAGTGATAATTTTCCCTATTTTTCGCTTCGGCCAATGCACGTTTTTTTTTGTTTGTGATGTCATGAATATGATTTATTAGTTAATTTATTTATCTGTTCGTTTTTATGTTGCACTCAGTTCCACACTTAATTAATATTGCTTATCAGTTTTACTGGAAATTTTTTTCTATTTACTCATATTTATCACATATAATTTGTGTTCTCTTTCAGACTTCATTTACAACTAGTAAAGCTCTTCCATCTCGCCGATACGCTTCGTTAGAGGAACCTCTGCAGGAATCTTCAGATGGCATCGCCGCGAATACTCGGTAAGTTACTTCAACATATTAAGGAAAAGTGTATAATACTACAATGACGTCTTGTAAATTTGGGTGTGATGGGGCTGACTATTCCACTCAACTGATATTCACGATGAAAATACTACTAGTACATAAAACCAATACCTTTCCAGCGGTAACTGCAATAGTAATGATCGCACATAACATCAAAATTAATGTGCGAAACTGAAGTGTGCTTGTTTGCGATATGGCAATGCAACTTATCCAAAAAATATTTAATAGTTCTTTTCACTATTTAATTGTAAAGACATCTCGTTTCTTCAATTGATTTCACAATCGCATGTTCCGCAATCGTATTTTACGGCAGTTCAAAACCGCGGACTTTGAAAACATGATTTGATGTGACATATTGAATTCCAAGCAATTCAACTACTATTTTAGTATTTTTTAAGTAAATTGTAATAAATGATAGTGTATTTTTGTATTTTCTTGATTAATTTTGTATAGACTTAGCTCAATAATTTTTGCTTCATGGGCTAAATAGTTCTCGCTTATGATGATTCATGTGGCTGAACACTCATTTCACAAGAATGAGGCTTACTATAGAACCAGTTAAACCAATGTTTCCATTAATATTCATATATCATGTTTATTCTTGATTTTTACATTTTTATCTATGTATTCAAATTTTATTAATGCTCTAAAATAAATTTCAGTCACATAAATTTAAAGCTGAATACCAAGCATTTTCATTTTATAGACAGTAAACACAATGATATTTTCCTATTTTGTTGCCTTTCTGTTCCTAATGGAACAGTCCAAATTAATTGTTATTCTTCAAAATGTCATTTTCTTACATGAACTTCAAACAGAGGAAAGGCCACCTCTGTTTTTTATGTGAACATTTTCCTCTTTCCATTTACCTAAATTAGGAAGAAATATTTTAGAAAAATTAAGATGACAAATGTGGTTAGTGATGTACGTTTCGTAAAAGCTGTACGTATTTAAGAAATGTAAGGAGATAGCTAATAAAAAATTCAATGAAATGTTGATCAATAATGTGGGTATTGAAGAAAAAAAATTAATGAAATTCAATAAAAACTCTCCGGACTAATATTAAATAGCAAAATACCTTTAAAGAGTGTGTGTGTGTGGGGGGGTAGAGATTTTTCTAATGTGCAGTGTCAATTAATTCACTAAAATTCAGTTTGGTTTAAAGCAACATATTTTAACATAAATTTGTTTGTTTTAAACTAACAATTTTTTTTCAATATTTACTTTATAATCTGAATTTTTAAAACATTTTAATACATCTTTATAATATTATTATTACAGCGTATGTAGATATTATAGAATGAAGACTCAATTATTGAGAAATTTTGAGATTCAAAACAGTCTTTTTTATTATTGGGATTCAATTATTTTAATTTTGCATTTTTTCATTAAATAGAAGCTGATTACACTACTAATAAACTTGGCAGGATTACCACTATATAACCACCTATTCTTGAGAAAGCATTTAAAGTTTCTAGATAATATTGTTTATTAACTTAACAGTCCTCTTACATTTTTACCAACAAACACATACTTATGTTAAAATACATCATGTTATTTGTTATTTTGATACCACAACAATACTTATAAATAACTATTATATGAAAATGAAAAAAATATAGGTAATAATTAGAATGGTGAAGGAACTGACAAAAATCAACTTCTGGCAATTTATTCATTCATGGAGAAGAAAGAGTTTTATAATAATTACTTTACAAAATATTAATTAAGCCAGTTGTTAAGAAATTTATTACTTCACTTCAAGAATTACAGAATTCTCAAAATTTCAACTATTCCCCATCACCTCCATGCCTATTACTTCATGGAAATTTTTTTCTTTACAGACAAATACTGGAAAAACAAGCAACTTAAGAGATAAAGAAAATAGATGAATGTGAAATTGATTGTGGCATTAAAAGTATTCTTTAGGCAGTTATAAATATGATGGGCTTTCAAACATTAAGAAGAGTGCAATATAATTGAAAGTAAGTTGTCAGTTAGATTCAAACAACAGCTCAAATAAAAAATAATATTAATTTTAGAGTGCACTACATTAATTTACTGATGCTTCAATAACTTCAATAACTATTGACCATTTGTAGACAATGGTCACAGAAAATCTTTCTCTCAATCTTTCTCTCAATAGTGTTCAAGGTTCTGTGAATTATATGTAATAGTGAGATACAGGGGAATGATGAATAATTGAAAGTTGGAAAATATTATATTGAAGTTCCATAAACCTGTCTCAATGCTTTAAAAAATATTTCAACTAGAATTATATAAATTGATTTCTGTTAAAAAAAAAAAATTAAGAAGAGAAATTGAAATTTAGTATAATATTTTGCTAAACAATATAGGTTTTGAATAATAAAACATTAATGTCTGTGATATAAATTCACTGAAAATATAATCAATTGGCAAAAAAGTAATAGTATTTATTTCTTTATTATAAGTTGTTGTTTTTTCATTTTATTTTTTTTATCAGTAGCTTCATATTTTCAATAAATATGTCATAAAATAATTATTTATCAGTTAGGTTCTTAGGAACAAAATTTAATTAACTAAATAACAGTTTGTCTCAGAATGAAGATAGTGATTGGCAATTATGGCCATTGTGGCATTTATTGTTATTACTAATAAATGGTAATACATCTTAAAAATTTTAAATGTTATTCTTTACTTAATTTATTCAAAATAGTAGAAAAAAATGTAAAAATCATAGAATCTGTAGAATTTCTTATGAAGGGTGCACTCAGGTGATACTGAACTGAAAAGAAATTCAAATTTTGAATGCAAAACACTAGGGCCATTTTTCATAATTATGTTCCTTAATATTCTATGTTCCTGGTAAATAGAGTTGCCAATGTCTTCACTATGTGGACAAGACCGTGAACAGGCTTTTTGTATAATGTATATTTTCAACCTTATATGTGGTTGTGGGTGTATCTCTGTTTTTGTTTTCAATTTATAGAACAGGAGTTTTGGTAGTATACAAAAGTGTCTTATTCTGATAGTTCCTTCAAACTCAAATAAAAACTGCTAGCTTTGTTTAATGCAGCATGTAATGGCCTTCCAGAATCACTTTTAGAGATTAATTTTATGATGCATTCAAATTTAATAATACAACATGACAATGTTGTGTAAGGAAACTTTGTGGAAAAGGGACAACTTTGTCAATCTAAAATTACATCATTATCTAAAAATCTTTCATCCATTCTGTGAAATTGTGAGTTTTTCATATTTGTTGAAGGTCAAATTTGATTTCACTGTGAATTAACGTACTACTTTAAAACTTTACTTTATTTTGGTTACATTACATTACACTTATTAAATCCTACCAAAGAAAAAGGAGATATTGACCTTTATTAATCATTAACCATTTGATAAAAAATATATATTGATAATCACGTGTTAATTTCAACCAAGTAAAATAATTATTTTTAATAATAATAAACTGCCTTAATAATTCTTAAATAGTCTCCATATCCGGTATAATCCTAAGTATGAGGCATTTTTGTTGTTTATAATAACTTTTTTATTTGTGTTTTGTTATTTGTAGTTATTTTAATGTGGTTGGCATAATTGTTCCATTTTCAAAGTAACTTTACCTAAGCAATTTTTGTATTTTTGAAAGAAGGCCAAAAATGTTTACAAAAGTAGTCATTTTCCAACAAAATTTGAGACTAGAGATCAAGAGTAATGATAGTTGAGAACCATTTTTGTGCATTCCCAGTAATAATTTCATAGAAAGTAACAAGAAATATTACAAAATTATTCCAGTTCACATTTGGTGCCTTTGAGAATGTTAAATTATAATGAAAATTCATTATAATTATTAAAGTTGGAACTCTTGTTTTTATTTTTTTAACTATGAGCATAAACTTACTGAATCTCACTTATTTCATAATTAACGAGGAAAGGTGATTGTGCACCTACCTTGAGGCACCACAGCAAATACATTTATTGGAAAACAATAACATTTGTTCATGGTTTCTTCTTTTCCTTCCAGTTTTTGAAATTGTGTTTCATATTACGTTAAGCTTTTAAAGATACGAGTTTTGAATTGGTTGTCAATATTTTAATTATATTTCCTAGCAATTTCTCTTCTAATTTAGAACAATCACATCTAAATATTAATCCAATTTTTTTAAAATTTTGTTTAATGATGGTTTGCAATATTTTGAAAACTGCTCTATCTCCCTCATCAGCTGCAACTGAAAATGTATTTACAAAATTAGTTCAGAATGAAGAAGTCAAAATGATGTTTACAATATTGGTTAAATGAAAGAAGAACATAAAAATTACAAAAGTAGAAAAATGAACTCTTGCTTATGCTTTTGAATTTTGTGATTTGTTATGACACAAGGAGGAACAAATGATACTAGTTATGACACAAGGAGAATAAATGATATACCTATAAAAATTACTATTAGAGATACACTTATCTAAAGGCTGTGTATTTGCTAGTATTTGAATTTAATTCAGCTCGAAACTGTGAAAAGGTTAATTTCATCAGTATAACTTCTAATTTACCCTCAGTGTTGATATTATTTTATTACAGAAAGTATAGAGAGATTAAGTTGTATTTTTGGTTAGAGTTACTAGCCCTACATCGTACTCTTGTAAGAAATTATAGCCTCATGTCATTTTTTATATTTTCTTCTATAAACTCTAAACACAACCTAAAATAATATGAGCCTTCTGTGATGTATAGGTAATGTTTTAATGTAGGGCCTACATACCAATATTGTAGAGCTTCAATTTGCTATTGAAGATTGAACCATGATCACCCTTTCTAATTGTCTATTGTTAATTTTTTTTAAAAACATTGTCAGTGCAGAATACGTAGCCAATTCTAGGTTCAGGAAATCTGGTTACATTAAAAAGGGGGAAATTATCTAACTCTCTGTGAACTTGTTTTCGAGTAAATCATGAAAGAATTACAAAAACATTACTCCTACCCACTAAGTTAACTT